AAAAAAAAAATCTTAAAAAAAAATTAGTTTAAAAATTATGTTTGAGAGACTGAATATACGAACAGACAGTGACCAGACCACATATGACAAACTCGGCAGTCACCAGCCCCTGAGGCCAAACCACAACCTCTACAGCAGTTAGGACTTGGTCAATGACTGCCAGTTTCCCTATTTTCTGTACCTCCTCCCCATCTCAAGACAAGCCAAAAGTCAGTTACGCTCCCCAAACCAATGAGCTAAGGCTTCTAGTTAGCCAGGCCGTTTCCCCACACCAAGCACACCTGAAGCCTTGCCTTGTCTCCACTCTAAAGCTTTCCCACTCCTCACCTGCCTCTGAGTCTCTACCAAATGCAAATGATGACGGCTGACTCCTTTTTTATAGCAAGCTCTTGATAAATGGTCCCCATTCTCATTTGGGTGGTCCTTGTTTATTTCCACATGTTTGCGTTATTGTGGCTGAGAGCAGAAGACATCTGCAAAGAGTGTTTTATGCTTAATGAAAAGAGAAGAATAAAACTTTTGGATATGGTTGAGTTCAACTTTGAAAAAGATAAATACAGAAAAAAATAAACACCAAAATAGTAGTAGTCTTAAGGACTAGGAAAAATTGTTTTTCTACTTTTCTGTGTTTACCCCCTCCTTTCTGCAAAAAAAACCATGTCATCCTTTTAAAATTCATATACACATATTTTTTTTCTTGAGAATTCTAAGAATGACTTGGTTTAATACAACATATCACTTATAAGTACTTTTAAAACATACAATTGTTTACTTAGTTTAAATACATTTAAATTTTTATTTGTATTATCCATATGTTATTTAAAATTACTGTTGACAAGAGAAAAATTCTGAGATGTCCTAAATTAAATTATAGCAGGCTGGACATCTGGCCCTACTCCTGGGGTTTAGACCACACACCCTGGGACCTGGTCCTTTGCTGGCCAGCATTTGGCTTAATAAACCCTTTCTTTTAGAAAAACTTTTGGCCATGAACATTTTAAACAATGTTCTGGTTGTTAAGCATTTTGAGTATCATTCCAGGTTGAATGATAAATAGATGAAAGTATTATTATACATTTTTGTACAATTCCTTTATCATATTGAAGGGCAGCAGAGTGTGCCACCCCAAAATATGCCCCTTTGGGATATTATTTTAAGCTGGTTATTTTTAAGAAATGAAGGGAAAACCCTTGCCCTTCCCTCAAACTGCATACAAGAATTTAGATAGAGGACCTGCTCTGGAAAGGGAATGTCATCACAGATAACTAGTTTAATACCAACTAGTGTGTGCTAGGGAGGAAGGTAGCAAGGCCCATTTGATCAAAGGCCTCTCTGTGCCTCATTGTTAAAGATGCCCCAGCAAACATTTATTTACCAAACATTTGCTTTTCCATCTCCATATGAATTGCCTTTCTGCCCCTTGAAGCCCCAAACCTCTCCCCCTCCCCCCTTTCTCCTTAGCTCAAATTGACGTATACAGCTCAAATGCCTGATTTGTCCTGTGGCCCCATATTCTTATGGCGCTCCTGTATGTACATCTGTAGAGTTGGTTATTTTCTCCTGTTAATCTTTCTCATGTTAATTTGATTTAGACAAACCAGAACAAAAGAAAAGAGGGGGAAATTTCCCTCCCCTACAATATGAAAAGACTAGATTCCTCATTTCTATTCTTCTGTTTAATTTCTTTGGTATGTTCTCAAATTTATACTACTACATGGTATATAAAACATTTACCCTGATTTATTTTAACTTTTCTGATTGTAGTCAATTTAAGAATTTTAATTGCTGTGTGGGATTCTTATGTATATCTTAATTATGGCCAAGAACACAACCTTTCTAGTATGAATCCTTTGAACTTAGTTTATGACAAAGCATAAAGTAAATGCTAGAATGGAAATTACATTACTTTTTAAAATTTTTTTATTTTATTGGGGAACAGTATTTTCCCAGGACTCATCGGTTCCAAGTCAAGTCGTTGTTTCAATCTATTTGGTTGTTGGAAAAGTTATGACGTATTTTTTTCTGTTTTTCGTTGCAAAAATGCGTCATGATTTTTCCGACAACCCAATAGTTGCAGGGGGCGCAGCCCACCATCCCATGTGGGAATCGAACCGACAACTTGTTCAGAGCACGTGCTCTAACCAGCTGAGCCACCTGGCCGCCCCAATGACTTTTTTTTTTTTGTCATTGGTGAATGTAGGTTTTTAAAGAAAGGAGCCATAGGACTGTCCTGGCCCTTAGCAGCCCCTCTTAGGCAATACCCTACGAGGGCCACAGACTTGTTCTCACCTGGCCTGGCCTGGGCCTGGGGCCCCAATGACTTTTTTTGTTAAGAAAGAAAACAGTTGTTCAGTTTCCTTTCTTTTTTTTTGCTGCATTTACTGAAATTGTTACCCAGAAGTTGTGAACAAGGTAAAATCATATTCTTTTTAAAACCAGACATAAAATCTGGAGACAGAAAGTAGATTCGTGGTTGTCCGGAGTTGGGGGTAGGCACAGGGGTTGGCTGCAATGTGGGCAGGTGAGGTCTTTCTGGCGTGATGAAAATATTCTAAAATTGCACTCTGATGATGGTTGCACAATTCTGTAAATTTACTAAAAAATATTCAATTGCAACTTAAAACAAGCAAATTTTATGGTAAGTTATACCTCAAAAAATTAAATTTAAAAAAAGCAACAGCCAGAGATGTCTTTTAGTAGAAGAGCGTTTTGTGTGTATATGTGTTCGGCAGTGCTCGACACTGATTGGCTCCTGGTACAAACCTAGAGGGTCCTCATGGCTCAGCCTGGCACCTGTGGCCTGGCAGGCTGCTTCCTGAACCCAACAGTACTCCCCTCCTGCACCTGGACCCAGGCTGTTTCCACCTGAGGAGCTCGGGGCTCCTCATCACAGGTCAGCACAGGCCCTGTCCAGCCTGCATCAACACCTTCTGTGTCCCCATCCTCCAGAGGGCCTTGAACCTCCACCCCTGCAGGGGCCTAAGTGCCTGGGACCTCTGGGAGGTGCCCAAGGGGAGGGAGCCCCAGGCAGTGGTCGAAGGCCTCATTCAGGCTCTGGACACAGCGTGGTTTTCAGTTCCTTCAGGGATTTATTAAGGCATTGAGCACAGTGATTTTTAGCAGACTGAAGTGAATACAAGGACATATATCAGGACCTAAGGGATGTGCTTTTAAGGTTAATGGTGAGGATGATGAGCTGAAAGAGCATAGAATACGCCTGCCCTCAGCCAAGAGCTCTGGCGTGGGGTCTCCTGGAGAGCTACCACTGGTGCCCAATAGGAGGTGGCCCCTCACCTGATGCCAAGTGGCAGGAAAGCCGGAGAAGCCAGCTGCAGGACAGTGCTGGTGGGTGGGGGATGCGGTGTGGCCTGGCCACAGCACAGGCACAGAGGCACTGGCCAGGCGGCAGACAGGAGGCCAGTCTACGGGGGCCAGTGGGCCCAGGGTCAGGAGAGGGGGTGAAGAGCCTCTGCCTGGGCCCCAACTGTGGCTATTTAGCCCTCTTTCCATTTACAACTCGCTGCTTCTGGGAAGAATGGAGGGGAGTTTCCTTCAGGAGAAAGCAGACCAGGAGGGAAGGAGGGAGGGAAGGAGGAGAGGTCAGCCCCCACTGGGCGGAGTCTTCAGCCCGAAACCCCAGACTGCTCATAGTCACTGGAGGTGCTGAACTGTCTCTCCACTTTCCTTTGATCCTTGATCTTGAGTCCAATGTCCACCCTCTCCTCAAAGAAGTTCACCAGCACGGACTCCGTCAGGATAGAGGCCAGGATCTGCTCAAAGGAGATGCTCCAGTCTGTGTCCACGGTGCCCCCTCCACGGGCCTCCCCGCCCACCAGCACCGTGTCGTCGGCCAGGTCCTCACACTGCAGGGAGCCCGTGCTGACCACGGAGTAGGAGGACATGGACATGTCGTCTTTGGTTTCATCGTCCGACAGACGCTGGGAGGGGGAGCCCTGGCCCTCACCGCCGCCCCCTTCGCCCACCACCTGGCTCTCCTGTGGAGCGTTCCCAAGCTGGGTGTCTCCGCCAGCTTTGGCCTGGAGGTCGTCTGTGTCTGCTGGCTGGAGCTCCCGGGCGGGCTCCTGAGGGGGGCCGGTGGCTGGCGGCTTGTCTTCCCCTGGGGCAGTGTCCTGGGGCTTCCTGCCCGGCTGCCCTAAGAACCGCTTCCCCACCTCGCCGATGCGGAGCAGCAGGCTGGCCACCGTGGCGATGGCGTGGTACAAGTCCTGCTCCTTGGGGTCTTCACTGAACATGTTGTAAAGCGTCTTGCACAGCTCGATGAATTGCTCCTTTTAAGGGGAAAACAGAAAAAGGGCAGGGAGATGGTAAAAGACAGGTCAGACTGCCCTCGGATCAACCAGACTGACCACGCTGGTCCTTCTCACTGGTGTGGGGTGCTGTCTTGTTAGTCATGCCCATCTCAGATTGAGGCTCAGAGAGGGAAAATGACAGGACCAATGAAACACAGCCTTCAAAGGGCTTTCCCAGTTGACCTTCTTCCAGCATGGAGAATGATTGGGAATCTCTCCCTGTCTCTATGTCTATTCTGTTAGCAGAGATGGACCTATTTCTATCATGACTCTTCAAACCCAGTGACTACAAGGACTGCTTCACTATGCTTTGGAGCCACTTTGAGCTTTTTATATCTTTAATCGGAAGTGGCTTCAACTCTGTCCTTGATGAAACTCTTTACAGCAGCGGTTCTCAACCTGTGGGTCGCGACCCCTTTGGGGGTCTAACGACCCTTTCACAGGGGTCGCCGGGAACTTGTATGTGGGCGTATCTGCATGTGGGCCTGGAGACGGATAGAGGAGCGGTGTCTCGGTTCCTAAGACCATCGAAAATATGTGTTTTCCGATGGTCTTAGGTGACCCCTGTGAAAGGTTGAGAACCGCTGCTTTAGAGGGTGGTGACAAAACAAGTGCGGCCTGGGTCAGATGAAGAGGGTGGAGAGGTCTGATTCCAGATCCTGAAATCACATGTTCAGGCCTTTTGGCCCGAGAATGAGATGACACCCCAGTCCATGGGGCGCCCCACTCTTCAGCCCGGGTGGGAGCACCCAGACTGCAGGGTGCCCCCTGGGCCGAGCAGGGCCGTGCTCAGGCTGCAGCTCAAGAACTGCCTTCGGTTAGATGTCTGTGGTCCTGGCCTTGATATCCTCGCCAAGAAGCCAGGCTCCAGCCCTGGAGACCAGCTAATGAGCCTGGCAGGAGCAGGAGCGCTGTGACGCCCTCTCCTTGTAAAAGGTGGTGAGTCAGTCTCTGCTTATTGGAGGCCAAGCCTCCCCAGTGCTTTTCTGGTTCATGATATTGATTAAGTGTGAGCAAGTGGTTACCATGAGACAACACCATGAACAAGGCCCTGAAGCAACTGGCCTCCTGTCTTTCTGGAATCTTCCCTTCCCGCCATCTGACTAGCAGGCTCTGGAGGTAGGCAGAATTCCCATTGCCTGGGGGTGCCGGGTAGAAGGCCCCAGCTGGCCAGCATTCTCACCAGTGTCTATGGAGACTCTGGGTGGGCTTACCTGGTTCATCTTGGGAAGGTCCTTAATGGTCTCCTTCTGAACCTCTTTCTCCTGGGCCCACATTTGAAGGTAGTGCCGACATTCGGGAGGGCTGTTCCCCTTCTCCTCTGTGAGTTGGGAGAAAAAGATTAACCTCCATCTGTCAAATGAGAGGAAGAGGGCTTGGGGCTGGTAGCAGGAAATGAGTGGTTCGGGTGCTGTTTGCTGTGGAGTTACCTGAGCCCTTTCATAAAACATCCTGGCATTTGGGAAGAACACCCAAGAGTACCCACACGTCTCCCCTGGGTTACGTTAAAGTAGGTTTGACCTAAGTGGATGAAGATGGCCAACCTGTTTTTCCCAAGATGGTGACAGAACCATGTGGAGGCTGGAGAGAGGACAGCATGAGTGGGAGAGGCTGGCTGGGTACCCAGAGGGAAGTGGCAACAGCCAAGGGTGTTCACAGGCACAAGAAGATTCAGGCGTGGGGCTGACAGGAGCAGGGCCTCCCCCGGCAGCTGATGGGCTGGGCACACACCTCATGGCATCGCCCTTTCCACTGGGAGAGCTGCTGTGTCAGGCTGGTTTTGCCATCTCCCAGGTGGGGGCTTTCCCGCAGTGATGGGGCAGGCGGACCCCGCTGACCCCGAGGTCTCACCAGCACCGGCGGAGGCTGGCCTATACATACCTCCTCTTTTTTCTTGGATGTTCTCATTTCCAGCTTCCTCTCGCTCTTCCTGCCGAAGTGCTTCTGGATGAGGAGAAAAAAAGAAACCCAACACAGAGAACATTCTCCTGTTACGAGTCAAACCACTGGGGTCTAGCCTGTGCTCTCCGGCAGCAGCAGACCGCAGTGGGCCTCTCCTTTGTCTACCTGGTTACACTGAACCCCAAAGCCACCAGACCTTCACTTCCTGTCTTTCAAAGGAACAGCGTGCACGATGACGCACATTACGCACGATGACGCACATTACGAGAAGCAGTCCGAGAACTAATTTCTGTAGTCTCTGCTGACAAAGGTCACACTGAGGGGTCCTAAAACCAATTCAACCTTTACTGCCACACCAGCTGAGCTATATTTTTAAATACAGCTCGGTTCTGTATTTCTTAAGGTGATACACTTGCTGGAGTTGGCAAACACTGTGCTTCCTACGGTGACCATGAACTTGGGGAGAGGCAGGCTGCCCAGCTCTCCCAGACCTGTGCCCTGAGGCAGTGTGGCGCTGGGTGGGGGACCTCTGGCTCATGGCAGCGTCCCAGCTCTGAACAGCCCTCACCACTGTGTGGTGGTGGGGAGGGCACACCTCTGGGCTCAGGCTTCTCACAGTGGAATGAAGACCGCTGCCTGGGGGCTACACGGGGTCTGAGGACAGGGCCCTGTATCTCCAGTCCCTGGTCTCTCCTGGAAGTGCCTATGACAAGCTTAAAGCACTCCGGATTTGCCCGGGCTTCAAATATAGCAGGTACATCTGCTTCTTTAGTTTGTATACCTGAAATCAAGGTCCTTAAGCTTCATGGTCAAGTTCAAGTAAGCCTCTGACACTGTCAACAGGACTGCTTTGTGTATCTCGATACTTGGTACGTGCTGTTTTTCATTTCTCTTTTAGGTGCATTATCCTTGGTGTGTACTGTCTCCCGCGAGAAATTATAGGGCGGGGTTCTGGTCAGGCTGGTGAATGCATTACACGCCAGCAGCTGGGCTGCCACATCCCAGGCCCAGGATGCCCCATCCCCCTGGATCTGATGCTCCAATGGGCTTTAATGTTCCCCAGGGAAGGCTTCTAATAGGCACTCAACAACTGTGTTTTTCCGTAATGAAAAAGTTGGGTGGAACATGAGAAACATTTTCCAAGGAAAGCACTCTCCTGCACTTGCCCTCATCCGTGTTTCTGCTTCACACTGTTGTGATCATAGCACTTGTGTTTTTTCCTATGAAAGTGGCCGTGGGGCTGGTGCCCTGGTGCCCTTACAGGCTCACTGTGCTGTGTGTCCTCATTGACGACCCTGTGAGAAGCACAGAGGCCACCCCTCTCCTTCCCCAGTCCCCAGGAGCGGCTTGGCTTTAGGTCCCCCTTGGGACTAGCTACACAGGAAGTGTCCCTGGGACCAAGAGCTTGCAGGGGACTATTAGGAAGATGGAGCCCAAGGCCTAGAGAAAACCCAGTGCAGAGGAGTGGCCCTGCCCCCGAGGGACTGACCTTGAGCCTCCCAGGGCAGGAAAAGATCCAGATCTGAAGCCAGAGGAGATGCTGGAAGGGAGAGCAGAGGAAGAGTGGAGGGCAAAGGGAGGGAAAGCCAGGGTCCAGGAAGGCAGAGAAGAAAAACAAGTGAGAACATCCCAGGGACCTACCTGGACAGACAGGCAGCGCCCTCGCCCTCTCCCACCAGTGCCCCAATGAGGCAGGCTCCCCAGTCTGCCCAGGGCTGCAGACCACCCGTGTGGGCCTCACAGGCTGTGCTCACCTTCTGAGGAGCTGTCCTCGGTGAAATAATGGGTTGCTTCCAGGGCTGACTCAGCCTCCTCTGAGCTCAGGGCTGTGCTCCGAGAAAACAGGGTGAGGGCAGGAGGAACATGGCTGTCACCAAGGCCATATTCCTGTGTCCTAGACCAAAGCCTGGCTCCCCCATGGCGCACCCCGCGGCTCCCAACCCACTGAAATGGCGTGTGGTAACAGTGGTAATGGCAATGCCAGGTTCTGGGTATTGCTACTTTGACTTTTATGTTGTGTTTGAAAATGTAACACATGTTCCAGGTAAGAATCCAGTCAGTGCAGCTGGGAGGCAAGGTGGCTTAGGAGAGTGGGGGCGGCCCTGGGTGCCCTCTCTGCAGGCTCCTGGCCCAGCGGCTCTGACTGCCCCGGCTTCTCCCTCAGCAGCCTGTGGTGGCTGGTACTAACTTCCCTGCAGGTGTCCCCGAGGCCATTGTTCCTTGTCACATTACAGGGAATAATCGGCCACAGGTGAGAACGCCTGTGTCAAGAGCAGGACTTTCACAGAACAATCTTTAAAAATACCGGCTGGGCCCTGCCCCAGGCCAATGAAGTGAGGACCTCTGGGGGCGGGTGTGGTAGGAGTATTCCAAAAACCACATGGCTGATTCCCAGGCAGCTGCTGACACCAGTGTGACTGAGACCAGGACCGCAGCTCACCCTAGAGCAGCGCCCGAGGCTGGAATTTTCACCTGCCCCTCACAGTTCCCTCCTGTGAAAATGGGGTTAGCCCTGCCTTAGAGAATTCTCCTGGCAGCCACCCTTGCTGAGCTAGGTGAGCTTGGCCCACACAGCGGGAACATGGCAATGACAAGATCTGGCCTGCCGTCCGAACAGCTGCCCCATCATGCCACTGTCAGTGCACCCAGGAGGCTGGGGCACTGCTTAGAGAAGCTACAGGGGAGCAGTCCCTGTTCTTGGCCACAAGACAGGGCTCTCCAGGCCACCTCGAGGGCCTTGGCAGTGCCCCGGACAGACCCTCCAGGGATAAACAGGAACATCTGAGAAACTTGGGACAGGTGAATGAATGCAAGTATTTCAATCTCCATTCTGACTCCCTGAGACCCTCCTGCAAGTTCCCTCCCAGGTCACAGGTCATAGCCCTGCTCTCAGAATAAGACGGGCTGGCTTCTGCCATAGTGCATGGAATGGGGGGTCCCCACTATGCTTGGCCCACCAGAGGCCTGTGCCTTGGATGCTGCAGCCCCAGCTCTGGACAGGTGAGCACCCCTCACCGGGGAATGGGAAGGGAGGCTCTCACCTGGGGGCAGGTGCAGCTTGTAGAGCACCTTGAGCTTGTCTGTCAGGTCTCCATGATACATCCCACCTGTGGAAGAAGGCCGGAGAGGAGGCATGCTGGCAAGAGGGCTCCAAATCCCACAGCTGGCCCTCGCTCGCACACTGCCCCTTCCACCGGGTTCTGGTGGGCACCTACCCCGCATCCTGACTCCCTCTGTGAGAGGTCCCAAAGCAAGCCCAGGCCCCCTGCTCTTCTGAGCTGGCCCTTCTCTGAGGTCCGCAGCTTGGCTGTGGGCAACCCCAGGCTGAAGGGGTAGAGACCCCTCTGGACCCCCACATGTCTCCAGTGGAAAGTGCCCCTGCCCTTATCAAGGGTCCCGGGCTCCGGTCGGCCCCAGAACCACTCACTCATCCCTGTCACGAACTCCTTGAAGGTGATCAGCGAGTCCTTGTTTCGGTCCAGGAGCCGGAACATGCGGCCAGCCAGCACGGGTGTGTGGGAGCCGCAGGCCCAGGGTGCCAGGCGGGCAAAGAGCTCCTGGAACTGGCTGCTGTCAATGCGGTACTGCTCCAGGTAGGGCAGGCTGGGGTCCCGCCGCATAGCGCTGGGACGGCCACTGCCCCAGTACTGACTCGTCAGATGTTTGGCCTGCAGGGGTGCAGCCTGGTGAGATGGCGCTGTGCCCACTGCTCCTGCACCCAGGGCTGCAGAGGCCCAGGTCAGGGACACTGAGCTAGGCACAGCCTCTCACGCAGGGACCTCCTGTGTTGCAGCCACCAGCCCTCATTCAGAGGCGGAAGCTGGGATGAAACTGGGACGGGCCACAGCAGGCCATGAAGGGCGAGGGGCAGCACTGCCTCAACTGTTCTGGCTCTAAGGCCACAGCACGGTGGCCACCTTGGGGGCTGAATCAGAGGCAGCTGGGGCGGGGGGCGTGCATCTGGGAACTGACCAGAGCGGAAGGCAGTGTGCACTTGGCTGTTTGTGCCCAGTCTTCAGCACCTGACATTTTCTTGGAAAGCCCCTCCTGTCCCACCCTCAAGCAGTGTGGCCCAGCAGCAAACACTCTCCTTTGTGACAGCACCTGACTTGAGTCGGTCCAGAGACTAACCTGGGCTTTTTGCTAAAACCACTTGGAAAGAAAAACTCTCTTTTCACTGAGGCTACTACAAGGACAGGATGACATGGAGCTGCTGACAGTACTGCCATTCAGTGGGAAAAGCAGTCCAGAGGACATCCGAGGAGGGGAGCCTGACAGCATGTTTGAGCACCCGGATCCAGCCATGCCTGAAGCTGTTCATTCCTAGGCTTTTTAGCTACATGACCCACTTCTTTCCCTCTTCTGTGGAAGCTGACTTGAGTGGGTTTTCTGACACCTAAAAGTGTGTCCTGTCTAAATTCTAAGGATTACATTCTACCACATGAGGTTCGTGGTAGCTGCATTTGATGGTGTCTTTAAATCTATTACTCTTCTGGAAGGAGGCTGCTGCACTGAGGATGCACTCAGGGGACTAGGGAGGGGTACTGGTGCTGCCCGTGCTCTTGGCTGTCACCTTGAACACCATGTAAAGGTCCTCCAGCTCTTCAATTGAGAAACCAATGTCCCCAGGTATAGCTCGGACCTAGAAGGAAAGAGAAATGGATGTAGTGACAGATTCTTAAGTTCCTGCCATGGTAAAAGCAAGATGCTTTTGAGAGAATCCCCATGTGGATGAGGGCAAAAGCATAAGTCGCCCTCTTGGTGTGGCCAGCTGGCCAAGCACAGAAGGGCGGTGCATTCAGGAGAGGGGGTGTGGTCCACAGGCTTACCCCTCGTCACCCACCTGCCACTCAGCCCACCTCTTGGTGGGCACTGTGGGGGCTTTTGGTCTTACTGTTCAGTCAGGGACACAGGGTGAGGGGCAGGCATCTAGGGGCTGCTGTCTGGGTTCCTGGAAAGACCCTGCACTGGCTCTTTGGAAGGTGTTCTAGAATTTCTCAGTAAATCCTCCCTCCAGAGAAGGGGGACAAAGGCTTGTGACAGAGGCAAGGTGGGTTGAGTGGGTAGAGGGTGGCTGAGTGTCAGTACCCAGGGACAGGGGCAAAGCCAGCCCGAGGGCTCAGTGCAGAAATCACGTTTGGACTGTAGGCACTGGGCGTCAGAGGGACTTCCCAGTGACCAAGCCATGAGCAATCCGGACCTCTCCTTCCCACTTCCCCAAACTGGCCCCTACACATGATGCCATCCTACGAGGAAGCACCAGGGAGCTCTGCACCTGTCCTGCCCCACGGGGAGGTCTGAAGATAGAGCCCACCTGGGTCACCACCCCACCTGTGCCCCTGCCGGCCACCTGGGGCCATCGTACCACACTCCGCTTGGCTGTATCCTCCAAGGACTGGATCACTTTCAGCCTCTGTTTAAACCGCATCTGTTCAATGTCGTAGGCCCTCAGGCTGCTGAATTTCTACTGGCCAGAGGTGACTCCGTGAGGTAAGGCAGAACCACAGAGCAGAGGGCCACCACTGCCATGGCCACCGCACCCGCACTCACACCCACACCCACATGGCCCAGTTGGGGAGTGGCCTGGCCAAACAGCCCTGGTGAATGCTGACCTCATACGACACTTTCAAGAGGTCAAAGATGTCCACCTCTGCAGGAGGGTCATCTCCACAGGTCAGCAGGGCATGGAGGTGTGGGATAGGTGGAGAAACACTCTGCTTATTGACCACGTTATCCAGGTATCTGTAAGGATTAAAGGACAGAAGTATAGACCACCCACAGGCAGCAGGGCCTTCTTAGACACAGCTAAGTGATGTGGAGGGATCTAATTTGCATAGCCTCCCAATAAATGAGGATGCTGCTATGGGCTGGGCATCCTCTGAGGCAGGTGGGGGGGGTTAGTCCCAGCAAATCGAGGCTTCTCCCTGGAGGCAGCAGAGAGAAGGCCTCACCCCCGCCAGGCCTGAGCACTGCCTAAGGAAGCAGGCTGTCTTCTGGGCATCCCTTACCACACCAGGAGAAAGCTTTGTCCCAGCTGGAGGGATGTGCTCCCCCATTTGGTGGGTCCCTAGGGCCGTGGGGGGTCCCCGCCCTGGCCAGGAAGAATCAGGGACAAAAGGAGTGTCCCAGGAGAAGGGTGCAAGAGGAACTCTGCTGTGGGGTGTCCACAGGGACCTGCCTCCCCAGAGACACGGGCTCCAGACAGGGCCTGACTTGGGCCAGCCAGGGCCACACTCCATCCCAAGCTCTCCAGGGTGGGCCTGATGTTCAGGTGGGACAGAGTGGCTGGCCCCCCAAATCCGCAGGCCCGTGTTCCTGAGGAGGGGCCCGATTTGTCTGCTGAAGGAGATGGGCATGAGAACCAGTAGGAGACAGGCCAGTAGCTAGGCGTCCTAACATCACTGTGGATAGAGCTGGTACAGCCCAGGGCAGGGCGGCGACAGCCCTGCCACAACAGGAGCCTGCAGGCTCCCACAGCACCTGGACTGGCTCAGCAGGCAAGTGGCAGTGTTCTGGGCTGTCCCGGGAAGCTGGGAACATTCCAGGCTGGGCACTTGGGCTGGTAGGACTGCACAAGCTCAGGGGCTGGGCCAGGAGGCGGCCAAGAGGGGCCTGGATGGAAGGATGTGAAGGCCAGGCTGGGGAGCTCAGCTCCTTTGTACAGAGAACCACCATGTCCCAGGGAGTCCCCATGTCCCAGGGGAGAAACAGGGTCAGATTCTGATTTGAAAGAGCGCTGTGGGATGCTGGTGGGTGAGCGGGGAGCAGGGAGAGCCATGATGAAGCAGACTGGGGCCTAGTGCAGGGGTGTGATGAGCCTGGAGGGAGGGGGAGGGGCAGGGTTGCTGAGAATGTCTACGAGGACGTGGGGATTGACAGCAGGAGGATGCCAGGATGACCCTGGGCCTTATGCATGAGTGGCCATGTATCGGCTTACTCAGTGGTCATAGCAGGCCCAGCATGGGCCTCTCAGGCTGGATGACAGGAGGCAGCGATGCTGCTGGGTTCAGGAAGGCACCACCAGGAGGCCCTGCTCTTCCGGCGCCCCTGCTCAACAGGCCCTCCAGCCCAGCACGTTCGGGCCCGCTGCCCATTTCATCTTCTCCCTGTGGTGATCACCACCCCAGTGCCGTCCGACTCCCACCAAATGGAGGCTCCATCCTGCTCCCTGGGGTGTCCCTGCCTCAGCCCTGGCTGAGCACTTGGTGGGCATGGTCACTGAATGCTGATCAAGGAGTGCCCAGGGCTGATGAGGGGTCAGGCTCTGCCGGCTGGCTGTCCCGCAGGAGGGAGGCTGGCTCGGTCACCTGCCCAGGATGGTCATGGCTTCGCCTTCATCACTGCATTCCAGCAGCTGCTCCATATTGGCATCCAGGATGGCCAGGGCTACCTGCAGGACCACCTTGATGCCCTCATAGAAGAAGCAATCCACAATAACCACGGCGCTCTCGAAAGGCATGACGCTGAGGAAGAGGGTGAGGAACCAGGATAGCGAGATGCTGGCGATCACCCCCAGGTCCTGCATCTTTTCGGACAGCTGGGGCAGGAAGTCTCTCGTGAGCTCTTCGAAGATGCCCTGATCCACCAGGGCCCCTAGGGAGAGCACAGGGAGTGCATGGTGAGCCCAGTCCAGGCTCAGCTGCCCTCGCGTGGGGCCCCAGGGCCTGAGGTGCAGGAAGTCCATCAGGTCCCCAGCCAGTGCTGCGTACAGTGCAGGCTGAAGCAGGCGGGTAGGCTGAGAAAACTAGAAAGAAGAAACCCTCCGAGTTTTCTTTCTACAGCTTCCAAACCATTGTGTGAAAAGAATGATTTCTTCTACTATACTGGATTTTCTTTTGGGGAAACACGAGTTTTTCCTTACAAGTGTCAGAAGTAATAGTGGCCTCGGTGGCTTCTGTGTGTCTTGCCCTGAAGCTGGTGAACAAATGTGATTCTAAAGGACCCTAAGAGTGGAGACCCGCAAAAGCAAACAGTGGGGGGAGGACATCTTGGAAGAACAGCTGCAGTTACATATGTACTGAAATATGTCAGCAAGTGTCCTCCCATGGCGTTACACAGGTTTTCCCTCAAGAGTTCATGAGAGGTGGGTCTGGGTACAGGTGCACGGTATGCTACAGGCTCTAGTTGTGAGAATGGAAATTTTCCATAATAAAAAAGTTTAAGAAGAGTTAGCTGGATGGGAATTTAAGCCTCGAGCCGACTTTTAAAAACCACTGAATGTGTAACATCTCTCCCTGACAACCACTCCTGGGGAATCGGCAAGAAGTCTGGTGAGATGACTGGGTGCACGTGGCTCTCACGCTGCAGCTGTGCAGTGGGGGCAGGGCTGTGAGGCCTGGGGGTCGCGTGTGGCCAAGCGGCAGACAGGGAGCAGGCACTCACCCACCACCCTGTTGTTGTAGTAGTCGGGCAGCATGCGCTCGCACAGGGCCACTAGCAGCCAGAAGGCCTCCTCCTCGCTGCCGTAGAGCAGGAGCACTGAGGTGACGATGTTCATGGCCTGCGGGCAGAGATGGCAAGGGGAGGCTCCGGAGCTGGACCCCAGGGAAACTGTTTTCCCGCCCCGCCAAAGGGTATCGCTCTACAAGCATGTCTGGCGACGACAAACCATCCCACCCGGCCTGGTGCAATTCGCCAGAAAGCAGTTTGTAGGAAATCAATTTGACAAAAAACGTCAGTCAAGTCCCTCAAAATGGGCCAGTGGGCACTTGAAAAACCGAGCAGGCAGGGATGAGACGTGGCACTTCTTCTAAAGTTGGAGGTGTGACATGGGTACAGGTGGATGTGTGTGCGACGGCCACTCGGCTGCAGGGAGGTTCTGGCGGGACTGGGACCCTGCACAGCGCTCAAGTAGTGACAAATTATCTTAAAAATGATTTAAAGCCAGTGCACTGGCCTTAGGATGTCATGCAGAATACTGGCCCCACAGAAAGCGATTTGGGGACCTGGTCTGCGTTTCTGAAATCCAGACACAGTCTACAGGAAATAGAAAGCCATGTGACGTGGCCAGGAAAAGGCCCACTGGATTTACAATCAAATGCCACCAGAAATGCAAATCAGAACCCCAATGAGATGATACTTCATACCATTAGTTGGCTGCTATCAAAAACAGAAAATAATGAGTATTGGCGAGGATGTGAAGTTGGAACCCTTGTGCGTTGCTGGTAGGAATATAAAATGGTGCAGTCGCTGTAGAAAACAGTATGGAGATTCCTCAAAAAATTAAAAATGGAATTATCATGTAATCAGCAATTCCACTTCTAGGTACAGACACAAAAGAACTGAAAGCAGGGACTGAACAGGTACTGTACACCCAGGTTCTTAGCAGCATATTCACAACAGCCAGAAGGTGGACCCAGTGGATGGATGAATGGGTACACAAAGCGTGGTCCATTCATGCAATGGAATATCATTCAGCCTTAAAAGGAAGGAGATTCTGACACATGCACAACATGGAGGAGCCTTGAGGACATTATGCTGAGTGAAATGAGCCAGTCACAAAAGGCAAATACTATATGATTCCACTTATATGAGGTTCCTGGAGCCGTCAGTCACAGAGACAGAAAGTAGGAGTGGTTGCCAGGGGTAACTAGGAGGGCTGTTTAATGGGGACAGAGCGTCCGTTTTATACAATGGAAGAGTTCTGGAGATGGATGGTGGTGATGGCTGCATAAACATGTACTTAATGCCACTGAACTGTACACTTAAAATGGTGAAGATGGTAAATTTTATGTTATGTATCTTTTATCACACACACTAAATAACAAAATGCTTCCAGGACCCAGCCAGAAACACATAGAAGACAACATAATACACAGCAGGGGAATGAGGTGAGCAATTGATCTTGTTTTTAATTACATCTTTTTCTATGGTCAGGTTTTTCCTGGGGAAACAGGGTCTAGTCGAAGGTGTGAGGCCATCACTCAGGCCCAGGGCCGTGGGGACCTGCTCCTGTGAGCCTCTGGTGGGCGATGCTATTTCTGGGTCCCCACTAATCCCCCTTACCTGGCAGTAGCCAATGGTGGGGTTTCGGAAAGCATATGCAGTCAGCACTCGCCGGAGGGCAGCGATCCCCAGCTCATTCTGGAAGGCGGGGTGCTCAGGCATGGAGCGGTGGAGGTCTCGCTCAATCTCCTCTGTGGCCAGGTTGTACTTCCCCGTGGACTTCTCCACCAGCTCAGCGTAGTATCCGGGGTGAGTCACCATCTCATTCCAGGCCCCTGTGGAGACACAGCTGGCATCTGTCTCTCTCCTCCTCCCATCCTGGGACTTCCAGGCAATGATAGGGCAAGTTGGAGGCGTCAATGTACCACAGAGGAGAAGTGAAACTTTGGGGTGAGTTACGAGGTGTGAGGCCAAAGCTCCCTCGTGACTGCTTCTTGGAGGGGTCACCCCACCCAAGTTCCAATGGCTAACTCGCCCTCCTCCTGAAACCATCCACGTGGCCAAGGGTGTGAATGTTGTCAGAGCCTGTCCCAAAGAAATGGGGCCTCAGGGGTGCTGTTCCCCTCCCACTGTGGGTGAAAAGGCGCCACCCTGGTGACAGTGCCTCCCCTCTTGGTGTCTGCTCCCTAGGATGCCCTTCTGGCATGGGCCTGCATGAGCCCCCTCAGCAGACAGCTCCATTTCGGCCCTGTCAAGAGCTGG